GCTTGTCGGTGTCGGGCCTTGTGTGTCGGAGGTTTGTGCGGACTGAAACAGAGCCACCAAGCAGGGTTTGGAAGGGGTGCATGATGACATGGAAGAAGACCACCGAGAGCTCAAGTGCAAGGTGCGCCGTGAAGGGCACGCAAGTTAACTCATCGGTGGGTGCTGTGATTTTGGAATTGGTGCTCGCTACCACTTCAAGTCGCACCGTAAAGGGCGAGCATGAAGACTTTTCAGATTTCGGTACGCAGCACCCATAAGAGCGCGAGCCGTAACTTGAGGTAGGTTGGAGGAAAGGGAGAAAGAGGTGGAAGGAGAAGGAGAAGAGCTGTGATTCTGCTGGTGCTGTGCTGCTTAGTGCGACGAAACCCGGACAGTTGAGAGAGCGACACGTTCGAGGATGCGGCTGGGAGAGGGTTGATGTCGTTGCGATCAGCGTTTCGTCGGGAGTTCCATGCTGGGATGCGAGCGTGTCTTCAGGCGCAAGATGAGATGATATGGATTGACGATGGCAATTGATGAGTTGAGAGGTGATTTAAGTAGGCGTGGCTGGCTATCTTAGCAAAAGAAAGCTTAATGCAGTGGCTCCTTCCTTCTACGAAACCACAACACCGACGAATCCACGAACGAGACACCAGCATTTGAAACTTCGCGATAGACAAATCTGGCGACGCCGCGGTCTACCTACGTATGTACACTAATCGAATCTAGCAGATTGTTTCGCAAACATCGCTTAAGAATCATCTTCGTGTGAGTCCGACTCTCGTTCTGACCATGGCTCGCATCCAGATGTGTCTTTCGCATCGATTCCAATCGACAGCAACACATGAACACGGCCATCCTCAATGCTCTGCGAAAGCCCATTATTTAGGCTGCAAGACGGTATTCTGCGTGTGTAGGAGATGTGGACCATAGCTAGGCACCCCAAACCCGCTGGAGTTGGCGACCAGGACTTGGTTGTTCGTGAACAGAAAAGTGAGGTCTGTAAACGTTAGCGCCACAAGTTTGGCGTGGCGTGGGCTGTAGTACCAGTCTGTATCGAATGACTCTATTGTAGTCTACGACATGGTCACTTTATAAGAGCCATAATCCAGGCTTATGGCTAAGATTCTCACCATAGAAATCTGCAAGCATTCGGACAGACCAACGCTTGTATCGTACTACGATCTCCTCAAAGCATACTACCTCTTAGCTCGCTCGGGTCTGCGACAGATATCCAAGAGCAAACTACAGTCGTCGCAAAAGGTGGCAGATCGGAAAACCAACATTGTATTCTACAGTCCTATAGAGCCTAAACAAAAGCCACCCTCCCATGATTCATAGCGTCGAAGATGCCTGGCTTCGAGAATCAGCCCACTTTCCTTGACGCCGAGCTCAGCACGTCCAAGCGCTCCATATTGCTTGCTAAGGCACTCGGGAGCAATCTCAGCTCGGGAAGCCCCTATCTCTCCAATTCGCTTTGGATTTCTCCATTGCAAAGGTCAGTACTTGCGTCATTTGCCAGTACATAGCGTTTCTTACTGCTAATGTCTAAGCATAATGCTTGACCATCTCGCTTAGAATGGAGCTTAGATTGCTGATGGGCGCTGAAAGACGAGGCAAGCGCTCAGAAGATTAGCCGCTAGAGTTCTGACCCTGGATCGTCACAATACTCTCGGTCATATTCCTGGTCCAGCTGACCATTTGGGGAGAAGTCGTACGGCAACGATGTTATGCTCAAGCTGTGCAAGCATAAGTTGTAAGCACAGACGTCGGTGGCTTCTATGGTATTTGCGCCTCTGTCGGCTATCTTCGGGGTCCAAGAAGCTTTTGAAGCAGTTTAGTGAGCTTGGGTTTTGTCTATGTGCTTGACCAGGGAGCCCTTGTTTCGTTCTGAAGACATCTCGGAGTGGTGCCACTGATCAAAGTAATCGTCGAGCAAGAGACATTGCCATCCTAAGCAAGCTTACCAGAAGTCGACCATCACATCTGCGCTTGTCCAGCTGGTATTCCTGCAGTTGTTGCCAATCTTGAGGCACGCATCGCCAATCACACGATCGCACTGGTCAACGACTATGGCCAAGGGTATCTGTGATGATAAGATTATACTCCTTCACATCGACCAAGAGTTTCTTGTTTCAAATAGACCTGCCGTCTGGCTCAGCATACGATTTGGGCCTGCAGGGCGAACGGACAGAGCTTGCTCGAAGATATAGCTGCCGGATCTCATGACTCTGGGCGCTGCCTGGCTACAGACCAGATCTCTGTTGTGTCTTTCTCTCTAGGTCTGTCGTCAGTTCTCAAGTATTTCTCACCAGTAGCTCATCCTCACTTGCTGCATCACAGAAAGCTTGGCGGACAAGTTTGCCAACCTGGTCAAACTGACCCGACCATCACAAAGCTTTTCACTGATTACTCACGGGCACCCTCGACAAGTTCTGTTTCGCTAACTGGATGTCGTTCTCCATCAGACGGCAGGGAGACGTTCCTGTCAATTTTCAAATTTTTCGCCTTGATCGATGCGACACTAGCGGTCGAGCTGAGATGGATGAACTCTGCGGTATGTGTCGATCGAGGTCACTGTCACTGTCACGTTAGACCAGATGCCGTTTTTGTATCAGTAGCGGATGAGTCTGCGAAGTGACAGCTGCTGTTGCAGTCGTACATCGCTCCAGAGCTGAGCATCCTCTCTACATCTCCAGTGATCTTCAGTCCCGAATGCTGTCAAGCACGGCAGGGGTGGGTTTCCACACGAATTCCAACAAGGTCCGGGATGACAATCAAAACCAATCTGCATATCGTTCAAAGATCCTTCGAGAGGCGAGGATTGGTTACCCGCAGTCCAATACTAAGATTCATACGAAATACGATTCAATCATCGACCATAGATGAAGCAGTCCTGGTACCAGGACTTGGAGTTCGTAAGCTATTTGTCGGCTTGGCTGTTGCAGCATAGCGCCGAAAACCGCGATCTGCTCGCTTCGCCTCTTGATTAGTATTATGACTGATAAGTGACCATCTTTGTGTCATCCGATTGCCCAAGCAGGTCTGGTCAACTCACCAAGCACAAAATGTGATACTATCAAGGCCCCGAAGATTTCGTTCATCCATCTGTGGACTGCAATCTACTCCGCGCCCCTTGACATCGAAGTCAGATGGTATCCTGTGACCTATATGACTTGGTTACGATGATTCAAGTCAGATTCTTGTTGGGATTCTCAAATCTTATCACAGCCAGCGAGCACGTCTATGCTCATGCTTGTCCAACACAAGCGAGCATTTGACGGGTCACGAACAACACTTTCAGAACTCTCGATCGGATAGCATGAAAGATCCTAGGCCAGACCACGACTTCTTCAGAGGCTTTGCTGCTCATGTCTCGTACCAACGATACGGCATCTTGCGAGACTCACAGTGCTAGGAGCGGGAGTATGTCAGTGCTTGACTTTTTAGCGGCAGTGACTATCGGTCTGACGGTGCCTGCAACAGCCATCCGTCAAGATGGAACCATCCAGTGTAACTCGTACAAGGCCATTTACGTCTTGCTGCAAGGTTAGACTGGTACGATAGCGCCTACACCACTCCATACGAATTGTGTCGTCTCGAAATATACTCTACATGAGAAGACCCTGTGGGCCGTCAACGGCGTCGCGTAGGATAAAGCACTTGTAGATCTTGTCGGTATAGAAGGTTCTTTACTGCCGACAGCAGAGGCTCAGTGCAGCTTTGTCGCCCATACTCGCTAATTCGCATTGTTTGAGTCGAAGACCGGTTGAAGACTGCCGCTGATAAACAGGCAGGCTAACTTTAAGGCCTAAGCATCCATACTGTGTCCCACACTATGCCTGCCCGACAGCGACGACAGATAAGATGAGGATTCTCGGCTCCGACCCCAGCCTCATACTGTGGTGACTTGTGAAAGCGCTTGCACAGTGGCCGAAGGCTGGTCAGTGTAGAGGTTGACCATCGCCATGATCCGAGGCCTCACCGACACACTCTACACTCGAAGAGCAAGCTTCGAGGGTCTATAAGCGCATATCAGCAGCTTGGAGATGTGTTCCATCGCGGTCAAGTCTCTTCCCAAAGCTCTCATAGCTGGGAGTGAACACGCTGACAAAACATAGAGTTGTCGTCGTGCTCTGTCTCACCGAAAAAAGTCCTGCAAAGTTGTGCCTTGGTAATGTCGGAAGGACGGGTCATTCAGGTCAGCGGTATGGAACGCTACACTGCACATCTCCAGTTGTAATCGTGGTAATCCCGCTAGTTTCCTGAGAGGAATGGAAAAGTTGTTGATTAGGATGTTGGTTCGCTAAGGATGATCTTGGACACTTTCCAGGACGGTAGCAAACACTATCCGGTTTGTCTCGACACAGCCATGGCCACGGCTCGTTGGGTAATTCTAGATCGGTGAGCTCTGTACAAGCAACAGCAAGAAGCTCAATAAGTATGGGAAGTGTGATGCGGGTTCGCTTGTTGTGGCACAAAGATGCAAAGCTGGCCGAAACCGTTCATAAATCAGCTCTTACATCCAAAACCACTATGACTTTGATTTTGTCCCTACCGTACGCATGAGAAGGATGAGCCGATCAGAAAGGGAACATTGCATCTTGGTCTACGCGAGAATTTGACGAGAGTATGCCACGCTCTTCGATACAAACACAGAATACTCGGGACTTGCGCACGTTTCTGGACTTTGTCATGCGCTTATGTACGTACCACTTGGCATTTCCCATCGAGAATCTCGAGTAGCTGTCGGCAAAGTGGCTAGCGAAATCATGCTCGTTCAAACTCGCAGTTGACGCATTTCCGGCCGATCTGACTCACAGTTGGTGGCGTTTGACGAGCGTCGCCTCACCCTCGTCATCCCGGTGACGCACCGCAGGCGCTGCAGTTACTTTCTGCCTCTTGACAGTCGGGTATTTAGTTCCTTCACCACACCAATCGACGGACCTCCACCCACCAAACGCACACCACGCTCCCCGCTCACTGCGCGCGCCAGTAAGCTTCGTAATTAAATCGCAATCATGGCCGACGGACAAGGACTTGACGACATCGATGCTGGTAAGTATATACATTTTGCAGATTTTTTGCACGTTGTTGACAAGTTCCTTGCTGACATCGAGTCCAACTACGATGAGACCACCGACTCCTTCGATGCTATGAACCTTAAGACTGACCTTCTGCGTGGAATCTACGCGTATGGTTTCGAGCGTCCGTCTGCTTTCCAGCAGCATGCTATCATGCCAGCCATCAAAGGTGAGTACAAGTCGCAATATTATGCCAGACTCATGCTCACGATGTCGAAAGGCAAGGACGTTGTTGCGCAGGCGCGGTCTGGTTCCGGGACGACTGCTGCCGTCTCTATCTCCGTCCTTCAAAAGATCGACCCCGATGTTAAGGCATGCCAGGTCTTAATCCTTGCCCCAACCCGTGAGCGTGCACATCAGATTCAGAAGGTCATTGCTACTATCGGTGGCTTTACAAATATTGAATGCTACGCTTGCATTGGTGGTACTCGCATAGGGGATGATACAAAGGCTCTTCGGGATGGGCGACAGTCAGTAGTCGTTGGTACCCCTGGCCGTGTCCATGACATGATTCACCGCCGTGCTCTCTGTACCGACAACATAAAGACGATCGTGCTCAACGAGGCCGATACCATATTATCCCGCGGTTTTGCTGAGCAAGTACACGACATCTTCGGGATACTTTGTCAGAGCACGACCACCCAGGTCGTTCTCTTCTCCGCTACCATGCCTCAGGACGTGCTAGAGGTCATCACTGAGTTCATGCGTAATCCAGTCCGCATCACAATTGAGAAGTACGAGACTTGCCTTAAAGGTATCAAACAGTTCTACGTTACCGTCGAAAACGAACAAGAAGACTGGAAGGTCGACAGCCTCTCCGATCTTCACAAGACCATCACCAACAGACAGGCGGTGATTTTCTGCAACACTCGTGGGAAGGTCGAATGGCTTACCGATAAGCTTACTGCCCGCAACTTTGCTGTCTCGGCTATACACCGTGACATGGACGCGCCCCAGCGTGATAATAGTATGAGGCAATTCTTNTCTGGCTCTCACGTCCTGGTCGCTACCAACATGCTCGCCAATACGATCGACGTCCAGCAGGTCCCTCTTGTTATCAACTATGATCTCCCAGCCAACCCAGAGGACTACATTCGCCGTGTCGGACGTGGCGGTGGCGGTCGACTCGGACGTAAGGGTGTTGCCATCAACTTCGTGGCCGCTGACGAACTGCGCACGATGCATGAAATTGAGCAGTTCTATGGCACTCAAATAGAGAAGATGCCGACAAACGCTGCTAGTAAGTAATTTTTCCGCGTTCTATGATGTCGCAGTCACTAATCCGTTTCCTAGACCTCTTCTAAGCGTATAAGCGCCCTTGTCTTGCCACTGCCTTCCGTTCGACTAAGTTAGAAAATTTTAGCTTAGGATGGACTCGTCGGACCGCGAGGCACTACTAACTTTAGTTTCTATCTACATCTAGCACCTAGCTAATAGATAGCCGGGTCTTTTACTAAAAGACCTACCGAATCCGGTAAGGCGGGGACGCTTAGTAAGCTAAAAATGGTAATTTCTACTTAAAAGACCCCCCTAAAAGACCTAACATTAGAAGACAAACATTTGGAGTCGAAATGTTTGAAATCCCATACAAAATTAGGGTTTAGGGTCCAGGCTTCGGACCCGAAATGTTTGCTCTACTAGACCCGAAATGTTTGCTATAACAACCTTCAAATCGCCTGGAATTGATTCTGTACAACATATAGATATGTATCTCCTTGCGTGCCAAATATTCCATGTCTATCTATAGAAGCAGTACGATAACACACTAGTGTCAAATGCACCAAAGATGCAGCTAGCGATACATTGAGGAGCTTCCCCGCATTAGACCCTGGCAACCAAGTACACACGCATCAACAAAGACCAATAGCATAGGAGTATATATTGATATGCCATTAAATGCAGTTTCTCAAACCATCGTACTCATGGATTTTGACCGTCTGCTTCAGATCAACCATAAACACAAAATCCTTATATGCATGCCATGCCAGTACGCAATAGTACCCTCGCAGCTAAAAACACATCTACAAAAGCACCACCCACGTCTTACTATAGGACAACGTCGCGAGTATGTTACAAAAGTCGAAGGCTGCTCTATACTAGCAAACGTCCACAAAGCTGTCGTGTACCCAACATCAACGGATTCTCCAGTCCCCTTCCTTCCGGTCTACTTCGATGGGCTTAAATGCGATGCGCGGAACCATGACAACACCGCTTGCTTATACGTATGTCGCAATCTACCCTTGATGCAAAAGCACTGCAAAGATAAACACGGATAGGTAAATGAGCAGAAACGCGGAGGGGACGCACGCACTAAAAGCCTTCACTTAACAAACAAGATCTGGACTGCAAACTGTGCCTGCCAACGTTTTTTAAAGTCAACAGCTGGCAAAGATACTTTGAAGTAGCAAAGCAGGGTGGAGTCCTAGACCTAGAGCTACAGGCACCCCAAAAGCAGGACTTCTTCTACGCTTTAGAAGACGATATCAAACAAGCACAGCAGGATGCTGCCGACGATGCGAATCGAGTACATGGCTTTTATGATCACGTCTCTGCTGTGGTTCCTTAGTTAAGAGAGACAGGCATTGCTAAACATATACAACATCTCTAGAAGGACAAAATTCGAACAGCGATCGCCATTCCCCTACTAGGAGAGGAGAGTGATCTTTATGCGATAATCGACGCGATGCAATCACTACTGCAAGATGCGCACAGGCTATGTTTTGACGGACCTGACTGTATGTTGACCTACCAATGTCGGGTCGTTCTTAGTCGCTTCTAATCGTCACAAGTCGATCTACAGGGCAAAACCAGACCGTTCGATCCATATAAAGGGCCTAAGAGCCTTAAGACATACTTTGGAACAGCATCTCGATTTGTGTCCTACTTTGCTAGAGTTGTTGCTTCTAATGGATACCACTTTAGCGTAGCAGCCGAAGACAGCAACGACATGCAAAGACCGGAAGACATTATCAAGGCAACAGACGAGCAATTAGCGGTGTGGCAAGACATATGCCTCATCGTCTAGCAAAGACAAACGAGCCTTGTCGAAGGAGACGAGCAAGTAGCTAACAATGGTGACGGAGAGAAGCTAAAGGATCGACTTCTGGAGCTATGGATGCTTACCATCTGTCACACGACAGGCGCTCGTCGATATGAGTCGCCGTTGTTAAGCTTCTGTGCTATGCTAAGCATTAAGCCGTCGACACTAGGCTGGATAGAGCCCGGCAACTTTAATAGCAGTCTTTCGGCTATCATATGGGTTATGCAGCTGCTGGTCTTTTACGACAGCGCCTTAAAAGAGCAGCAAGGCCATGGAAAGACGCTCAAGCTCGTAAAAGACCACTGCAACGAGTACCTACAGCAGACTGTCGAGACACCGATGGGAGAGATCCTTAGATGGCGTTTGTTGCTGTTTAAGGTGTCAGGTGCCAGCGTTAGCACTCATGAAGCCTCTTAGGACGAGAGCGAGGAGGTTTTGACGTACGAGGACACGGAGCTACGCATGGATCAGATCCCATCTTTGCTTGCATCTGAGTATCAGGGAGGCTGTCGGCTTCTCTACGACGACCTAATGCTAGGCCTTAGCAGTCTTCGGCGAATAAACCCTCGGTTCCTTAGGGATGGTGTTAACGTCGATACCGTCCGTTGGAACTTTACTTAGCATAGAGACAACAGAACAACCCTCGATGGCACGGAACGTGCTTTGACGAAAGCTATCGAACAATCTGAACAGCTATGCCGGATCTTCCTAATTAAGGACAGCAAGTCGTCTAGCGGATGGGCGTGGAGGGAGAGCGCGATAGCTAGCTACGAAGCTACGGTACAAGAGTTTCTAAAGCGGCTATGCGTCCTTATACACGTCAGTGGTGGTCAGCCCATCCGTGAGAGCGAGTTCTTCTCGATGACATATCGCAACACACAGCGCCGACGTTCGATCATCATCCGCTTTAACCGTGTAATGGTGCACGTTCAATACCACAAAGGCCAGCAGCAAACTGGAAACTATAAGGACAATGTTCGCTTTCTTGCAAACCCTGTTGCAGAGTTGTTGCTTGACTATATAGTCTATGTGCTACCACTACGGGAGAGGTTTCTACGGCAGACATCGCCTGGATCGTTGCTTTCTCCATATCTTTAGGAGAAGGAGGGAAAGGTATGGCCGGAAGGTCGTCTAAGCCGCTGCTTAGAAGAAGCAAGCGCTCGGGCTTATGTACTACGCCTTCATGTTGCTAATTAGAGGCAGATCTTAGTAGCCATCGTCAAGACAAAGTTTGCTAGCCAGATCGAATGCTTTAATCACGACGAAGCCGACGAAGATGCAGAGGAAATGGATGCAGCAATCCGAAGCATGACAGAACAGCGCAACCATAAGACACGGACAGTTAATCGAGCATATGCCAACCAGACAGGAGCAGTCTTTAGTAACCTATGGGATGGGAAGATACGTATGGGTCTCCAGGCTTCGACGCTATGGCAAGACTTCTAGGGCGTGGAGATGATCCTAAAACAAAAGAAGCGCGGAAGGGTCGAGCAAGAGGCTGGCTTTATGAAACGAGTCGCCATAGGCATCTACCGCCCTCGTAAGCCTTGGTCGACCGAAGCTCTTTTAGGAGGCGTCAAGAAGCTATACGGAAACAAGGATGTAGGCTGAAAATCCGCCGAGCAGGAGCAAGCCCTTACAAAGATCATGTGCCGGACCGAGCAGGTCGTCGCCGTCCTTCCTACAGGAGCTGGAAAGAGCCTACTTTTCATGCTACCATGTACTCTTCCGGATGCTAGGACAACGATACTTATCGTGCCGCTCGTTGCACTTCACGTAGACATGCTTCGACGCGTGCAGCAGATGGAGATAGACCACCTCGAGTGGCGGCTAGGCGAGAGTGGAGAGGCAGCACTAGTACTAGTCAGCGCCGAGGCTGTTTCGTCTAAGGAGTTTATGAAGTATGCTCGCCGGCTAGTAGCAGAGCAGAAGCTCGATCGGATCGTAATCGACGAATGCCACCTAACCGTAACCGCGGCCGAGTATCGACCTAGCATCATCGAGCTTACAACAATCCGAAGCCTACGAACTCAGTTTGTCTACCTAACGGCTAACCTGCCACCGTCCATACAAGCAGAGTTCGAAGAGAGAAACTATCTGCATTACCCAACAGTAATCAGAGCGTCTAGCAATCGGCCAAACATCTTCTACATGGTACGTAAAGCCGACGCCAACAGAGGAAACCTTCTTAAGCAAGCCGCGATTGAAGCCAAAGAAGCATGGACAGACTCGGATCTCTTTGACCATACTTGCGATAAGATTATCTTGTATGTTCGGACATGTAAGGATGTAGATGATCTTGCAAAGTTGCTTAATTGTAATGCATACACGGCAGAAAGTGGAACGCCAGCGGAAAAAAGATATACTCGGTCAATGGATCCAAAGTATAGACACGCCTTATATCGTTGCCACCACTGCACTTGCCGAAGGGTTTGACTATCCACACGTCCGACTTGTAATAAACGTAGACGAGCCGGACTCGTTAATCATCTTTGCCCAAGAGTCAGGGCGAGCAGGGCGGGACGGAAAGCGAGCTTATTCGATGGTGCTGCTTCCACTAACTTGGCAAGCTAGAGTTACAAAACAGTACGTGGACCTACGGACTATAAGCAACCATAAAGAGGACCGATCGCTTCGAAAGCAAAAGGACAAGCAGGCGGTACAGCGGTATTTGCAAAGCAAACAATGCTACCGGACCTCTCTAAGCGAGTTTTTAGACGTCGCCCAGGATCGAAGATAGTGCATGGCAGAAGACGTAGCATGTGACGTTTGCAAGGTGGCACATAGGGATAGAATCATGCAAACAGAAGAAATAGAGAAGGGTAGCGTTCATACAGGGCTTCAGATCATCCAGCAAGAACGACTCTAGGAATAGTTAGAGCTAGCGCAGTATCGGCTCGACCTAGCTAGCGTCAAAGGCACATGCTTGCTCTATAGGGCGATAAGAGTAGATTAGGACCACGCTTTCTCGACGTGCCCTCAACGATTCGAAGTGTTTAGAGAGAGGAACAAGGCTAGGCAGCGGTACGAAGGACAAGGGCGGAAGTGGATACAACCATACACCAGCTGCTTCTGGTGTCTAAACCCGCAATCGATCTGCCAACAAGCAGAGCTAGGAGGCAAAAGTAGGGGAGAGTACGAGTATAGGGACGTAGTGCTTCCACTATGTTATAGGGTGTTCCAAAGCGTAGACGGGCTAGGATGGTTACAGGAACGATTCGAGCGGCGATTTGATATGATAGAAGAGTATTTTGACTGGTTAGGGAGGAGTGCAGATTTGGTGGAAGTAGTGCTATACAAGCAGTGCGGGTGGCAGGAGGTACTCTTAGAAAGTGGGTCTAAGGTAGAGACAGAGGTAAGAGCTTTTAGGAATTGGATTATAGAAAGAGAAAGCTAGCAGAGTAGGGGATTTCTTATGTTATTATTATAGAACTGTACTTGATCCAATCTGATAGGTCCATAGATCTTTTGCTAGAAGATCCACCGCATAAGATATAGCAGAAAAGATTGATAGACCAAAATGTAGAATTTTAACATAAAAACATAGAAGAGAGCATTAGAGAATCTAGAAAAGTATGCTATATATAAGTAAGTAAGTAAGTAAGTAAGTAAGTGAGTAAGTAAGTAAGCAAGCAAGCAAGTCAGAATAAAAGAAAGAAGGTTAAGAAATATTAGATGTCATTTCTTTGCTATGTGTACATATCATGAAGGTAGAAAAGAGCAGTATCTGACTAAGACTACTTGTTGTCATACTTCTCATTCATCATCCCAAAAGCCAGTGAAGTCGTTGCTGTTGTTGCAGTCACAGTTAGCAATGGTATCCACCATCACACAGTTGCAACAGGCACCCTCCGAAACATTACCGACCGGCAGCTAGACAGGACGGGGATTAGCGTTCTTATCGGCAGGAACGATGATAGCACAGCCAAAGAAAGGGCGGGCAGTTAGTCTAGATCTAGTTGTCCAGTAGGAGTCGCACATGTTGCAGCAAGGGTCGAGCTCTGTCGAATAAAGGTTAGACTGCGCGGACATGGCGATGATCTAGGCGGTGTAGCGACGGAGGCCATCGGCGGTAGTAGGGTCTAGAATGGCGCGGGCGACAAGGCCGGCCTAAGATCTGATCTCGGGAAAGCGAAGAGGGCGGTAGGGGTTACTAGGCTCCAGAATGTAGCCACGGAGCTCGGAGGGAATGGCGTCAGGGTGGACGAGGGAGCGACCAAGTGCAAAGACTTGCTGCATGTGATTGAGTGTCATGGGACCAGTCTTGCCCACTATAGTTAGAGATGATTAGCTTAATGAGTTCTAAAGAAAAGAATTGAAAAGAACAAAAAAAAAAAAAAAGAAAGAAAACAAAAAAGCAAGAAAGAAAAGGAGAAGGGAGTGTAACTTATAAAGAGCCATAAAGGTAGTAGATTCCTATTAAAGAGAGGACATGGTTAAGGTGGTACGTTAGTTAGTAGTTAGGTTATGGGTTGAGGTGATATGTTAGCTGGCAGTTGGGTTATGGGTTAAAGATGAATTTGTTGAATGTAAGAATGATGAGAAAAGGTGGGAGGAAGGTGGTTAAGTAGCTAGCAACAGCTGCCGAGATTGAATTAGATGGTATTAAGTTATATTAAGGTGAATAAGATGAATTGAGGTGAATTGAGTTGTATTAAGTTGGTATTAAGGTAAATAAGATGTATTAAGTTATATTAAGATGTAGTGAGATGGATTGATTGTTATTAAGTTGTATTAAGGTGAATTGAGTTGTATTGAGGTAAATTGATTGTTATTAATATTGTTTGCTTAATGTTGTGCTTGCTATTGATGTGGAATTGCTCAATTCTAAGGTTGGCATTGTGATTAGTACTATGGTTTGTACTACGATTAGTATCATGGTTTGTATTGTGATTAGTATTGTGATTGTTATTGTAGGTTATTAGTATAATGGAAGAGGAAGAGAAGATTGATAAGAAAGCAGAAGTGTGGAAAAATGAGGTATTGATAGCAAGGGAGGGAGGGTATTAGGGTTTTAAATAGAAGATAGAAGATAGAAGATAGAAGATGGAAGATGGAAGATGAGAGGTGAGAGGTGAGAGGTGAGAGGTGAGTGAGTAAGTGAGTGAGAGGTGAGTGAGTGAGTGAGTGAGTAAGTGAGTAAGTGAGTGAGTAAGGGAATAGAAAGGGAAAGGAGAGAGTAAAAGAAATTTTTGGTATATAGATTAAATTTAATATATATATAAAATAAGAGGGAAGGGAGGGGAAGGGAGGGAAGGGTAGAGTAAGGTAAGGGTAGAGGGAAGGGGAGGAGATAGGGTAAGGGAGAGAAGGTATTAGGGTAGGGGATAGCAGCATTTCGATACGCTTCTATATAAGCTATTCTTGCTCGTCTAACTACTTTTCTATATAAAAACAAAGAAAAAGGGTACGATAAAAAGGAAGAGGGAAACAAAAGAAAAAAGGAAAAGAAAAAGAAATCTATCTAGTCTATACCATATCCTAGCCAGTTCCTAGCCCGGAGTCTTACTAGAGTGGTAGAGATATACTTATCTAGCCACTCCGAGGTGCTAGGACCAAGGGACTTTGGAATTCTTTGTAGGTTTGTGAGGTCTCCTTTCCTAGAAGGCCTCCTTGGCTAAGGATAAACGGCTTAAAAGCTCGGCCTAGGGTTTGGTATTTGAGCTTCTTAGCCCTTTCCGCGGCCGATAGGGTGCTATTAGGGTCCTTCCTAGCGGTTTCCTTACCTAGGGAAATGATGGACACATCTAGGTAGGTGGTTCCCTTAGGGTTGTCGATTCTAATGTCTGTCCGGATTCCTCGGTAGTCTCCTTGTGGCTCTAGGGTGACTTTGTTTTGTGGGTCGGTCTGTAGGGCCGTAGTCAACGCCTGGCACACCTTATTATGTTTGACAATTGTCTGTCTAGTCCTAGCACGGCAGGCGTCTTCGTGGGCGAAGGTATAGGCCCTATCACAGTGTCTACAGATGTCCTGGCCTTCTTCAGGGGATGTAAGAAGCCGAATAGAAAGTGCTGCGGCTACGTCCATGTCCGAGAGTAGAAGGGGCTGTGAGGTAGGCATTGCGGATAGCCATCTCCGGCCTAGGAAGGCTGAGTTCTCGATCCGTACGTTCTCTTGCTGTAAAGAGAGCTTCTGCTGTACTCTAGCCAGTCGAGCTCTGTTGAGCTTGTCTATTGCAGCTCGGTAGATGGTTCTAGCAGGGCCAGTACTAGTGGGGTCTAGTTGTTGGTGTTCTAGGGGAAAGCTAGGCTGTTGTTGGGTGTCCTGGGCTAGGAGGTAGGATAGGCTTGGTTGTGGTTGTTGGTTTGCTCTATTCCTGCTTCTACCGCGGTCCTGGGAGTGATCCTGTTCCTGTTCTTGTACCTGTTCTTGCTCCTGGCTTCCTAGAGTGGTTTGTTCGTCTAGACCTTGTGTGTCCTCTTCTGTGGCCTTGTCTATGTCCCCTTCTAGGCCGTCCTCTTGTAGGTTGCCTTCTTGGCCTTGTGTAGGCCTATAGCTAGTCTGGGGGTGGCCTTCCATACTAGTGTTGCTAGGGGCTGGCGAGGGTGCTCGGGGTAGGCGCCAGAAGAGTTTTGGCGGTAGGATCCTCTGTAGGGTGATGTCTGCTATAGCCTGTGAGTTTTGGAAGGCTAGCTCGGCCACTTCCGCGTAGAGAGGTATTCCTAGGCCTCCTAGCCTAGTAGGGAGGGCTACTAGGTCCTGGTCTAGTGGTCTTCTATCCTCTGAGCCTTGAAGGTGTTTTATGGTTTCTAGGAGTCTTGTGTCAATGTCTTGGAATCTTGCCAGGAGTCCTTGTGATCCTATGGTCCTAGGAAGGTGTCGGAGTAGTGTAGAGGTGCTAGCCCTAAGTAGGAGGAGTGCGTGTTGTTTTGGTAGGTCTTTTAGCCTATCTAGCACCGTCTGGAGTTCTTCTATCCTTGTAGCCAGGAATTCGGCCTTCCGTGGCTCTGGCCCTATAAAGGAGCCAAGTATCTTCATTCCCGTGGTCTGTATTGCCGATAGGGGTGTGTCTTTGTCTTATCTATGTTTAGGGCGATAGGGGCGTCTTCTAGGTAGCCTTCTAGTTGTTGTAGGGTGATCTGTTGCCCTGAGATGATGTAGACGTCGTCTAGGTATGCTAGGACGATAGGAGGGGGTCTGTTATAGCCGGTTGACCTCTGTAGCTGTTGTTGTAGCTGTTGGAGGGTGGTCCGAATGGCTAGGGAGAAGAAGAGGGGGCCGAGGGGTCTCCTTGTCTAACCCCTTCCGAGGAGGTAATTACCGTGCCGTCATACATCACTAGGGCTGCTGGCTCGTTGTAGGCCCATCTAGCTGCCTTGTAGAACTCTGGGGCATAGCTTAGGATCCCGTGGGCTACCGCTGCTCGGGAGACTGAGTTGAAGGCGTTTTTAAAGTCCATAGAGCAGACGTGGGTGTATCCTCTAAGGTTTCCATCTACCGCGTGTCCTAGTAGGTGTATGATTGGCTCTACCCCGCCGGGGCTCTGTACCCCTAGCTGGAAGGGGGCTAGTTGGTCCTTAGAGAACTGTTTTTGGAGGAGGACCTTAGCTACCAGCCTATAGATGAGCTCTCCTACTGCAATTGGCCGGACCCCGCTATCTTCCTTATCTAGGGCTACAAGCCTCGATGCGGTAAGTAGCTGGTTCCCTGGTGCTAGGCCGTTCTGTACCTGCTTGCAGAGGTGGGTAAGAAAGTCTACCACCTGTTTATGCTTACAGGCTTCCCTTAGTAAGGGGACTGACCAGCCGGATAGGCCAGGGGCTGTATCCGGGGCAAATGAGGCCAGGGCTTGTAAGATGTCTTCCGGGAGTGGCCTAGGGCCTGGTCTAGGGCTCGCGGAGGAGGCAAAGGGGTAGGGCTGCCCTTCCGGGTGTTTTTCTCTTAGTTTGGCTAGTATATCCGCCGAGTTCCTAGCTAGGGTTGAGGGGTCTACTAGTGCCCTTGCAGCTCTGCCTAGATAGCCCTTTTCTACCAGTCTTTGGGCTCTAGAGCGGGGGTATCCCGGCGGTTGTCTGGCTGGCCTAGAAATTCCTGGGCCCTATCGGTTTCTACGCGGCTTGGCGGGGGTAGCATTAGGTCCGGGTAGTGCTGTAGGACGTATTGGGTGCTAAACTCCTCCGATTGGATGCCTAGGGTAAGGCCAGCCTTCGGTAGTAGTAGGAAGTCTAGCAGGTGTTTCTCGGTAGGTTGGCGTGTGTATCTAGAGGCACACCTGGCCGCGGCGGCCACAAAGCTAGCGGCTTGGCTGCCACGGAAGGTGTGGTCCTTTGCCTGTACGTGGTTGTATCCAAATAGCTGTTGTAGATACTTGTTTCGGGGCTGGTAGGTGTTATACCGGTCTTGGCCTAGGCCTATAGGTATGTCTGCAACATCTGGTGGCGGTGGTGTATGTTCGTCTCCGTAGATAGGGCTAGTAGGCCCCTGGGTCCCTAGTGAGTAAGAGGGAGGTGCCGGTGTACTAGGGGAGGAGGGTGTAGGAGAGGAGGGTGTAGGAGAGGAGGGTGTAGGAGAGGAGGGTGTAGGAGAGGAGGGTGTAGGAGAGGAGGGTGTAGGAGAGGAGGGTGTAGGAGAGTAGGCACTACTAGTGTTTCGGGGGCCGTCTCGGACGTGGATCTCGCTTTGGGCCGGTGAGCTATGGCCGCTAGGTAGGTTTGAGGCTAGGTCCTCGAGGAGGCCGATGGTGGACTCGTTAGGAGAGCCATAGGAGGTGCCGTTTGGCGAGGGGTAGGAGAGCGGTCTAGTAGGAGGGTAGGTAAAGGGGCTGGTTGGTATGTAGGTCGGCTGTCGGATTGGTTGCCGAGGATTTCCCGTTGTAGGCTACTAAGAGGGGTACTCGGCTGGCTGCCAGATAGAAGGTCTAGTAGCCTGGCGGGTGGGCTATCTAGACGAGGTGGTGTGTTATGGTAGGTATGTGTATTCCTCGCTCTTGGCCTTGCTCTGTTTCTTGCTAGCGATGGTGATCGGGAGGCGCGGCGGCGTTTGTTGGTGTTTATAAGGGCGGTAGCGGTAGATGGGGCTATAGAGGTATTTATAGCGGTAGGGGTCGAAGAGGTGGTAGGCGTCCGGCGGGTAGAGCGAGTAGGAAGGGTCTTTTTTAAGCAGCCGGATTTGGACTGGTGGGATTTGATGCCATGTGAGGTTTGGCAGGGCTGGTAGCAGGTAGGGCAGGCGGTGAAGCCCATATGGGCGAGGGTAGAGAGGGGGACATGGAGGTGTAGGTGGTTTTTCTTGACGTGGTCCCATAGGTAGGCGTAGTGGCGGAAGCAGATGCGGCAGGTACCTGGTTTATCTTTTGCCATGGTGAGTAGTGAGTAGCGAGTAGTAACTATTGCGAAGCAACAGTAGGTATTGCGAAGCAACAGTAGGTATTGCGAAGCAACAGTAGGTATTGCGAAGCAACAGTAGGTATTGCGAAGCAACAGTAGGTATTGCGAAGCAACAGTAGGTATTGCGAAGCAACGAGGATAGCAAGGTAGAGAGAGAAGTGAATGAATGAATGGATGGATGGATAGATGGATAGGAAGAGGGAGGAGGAGGAGGAGGAGGGAGGAGGGAGGAGGGAGGAGGGAAGGAGGGAGGGAAGGAGGGAGGGAAGGAGGGAGGGAAAAGAAAAAAGTAATATATATGAAACATAGGGAAAGGGAAGTGGAAAAACCCGAAGGTGAGGGGTGTAGGGTAGGGGATTGTTAGGGTTAGGGTTAGGGTTAGGGTTAGGGTTAGGGTTAGGGTTAGGGTTAGGGTTAGGGTTAGGGTTAGGGTTAGGGTTAGGGTTAGGGTTAGGGTT